CTAACTGTCAATTGTCAATGCTAACTGTCAATTGTCAACGCTATCTGTCAATTGTCAAAACGTTAACTGTCAATGAAAATTTGTGGTAAGCATGAGCCGTCTGGGCTTCCGTACCCCTTTGTTTTGTATTCTATACCTTGGTATTTTTTATCCGTGTGGAATGTACAAGACAGGGTTTATTCAAATACACTTCGTGGGGGTCACTAGGCGTGTGCAGTACGTCACGACACTACACTATCGCTTAGGTCACGCAACGCGATAGAACCACGAGGTCGATAATGGGATATCAGCACAGGTAGCCCATGCTTGGTTTCTGTGGTGTCAGGAATATTTCTTATTTCTTACTGGTGGAGGAAAAAATCCTTAAAACGGGCTAAATTAAAAAAATAACCACGCAGAGCGAAAGAAGTGCTATTTCTCAATGATAGAGTAAAATGTCGAGGCTTTATTTCACGTTTCAATGATTTTATTGAAATTTTTGATGAATCCCCATACATTTCCTTATAACATGACACCACAGAAACCAAGTTTGGGCTACCTGTGATATCAGTATATGTACATTGATTGGGTTTTTCTCGTTTTATTTTTCTAGATTTTTGCAGAAAAGACAGGGATTTTTTGGTCTATCATTCGTCAAGCGTTCTACGCTGTTTCATTTCTCAGTCACTTCAGCTTGTCTCTCTCTTTCCTGTGTTTCTTTGTGACAGCTCTAAGTCTTGGCATCAACTGCGCGTTAGAAATCACCTTGGAGATGATTAGCCCAACAGGCGACTCATCTATTCATAAAAAGAACTTCTACTCTGCTTGTCTGTTTGTTATTCTTGTCTGTGCTATAATTAACGCCTCTTTTATTCTATCTCTCTTCTGGGAGGTAGTGTGTGCTGTTCTGTACAAGTCATCCATCAAGTATACCTTGATTAAGATAGTAATTTTCTTTGCTGTTCTCATCTCTGCAGGGATCTGGTCTGGTGTTTCGAGCACAGCCAAGTCGGGCTTCGTTAATTTTCTTTCTGACTGCTTGATTGTCTCCTGGTTCGCGGCTTTCGTTCTATCTATCTTATCTTCACTATTTCTCTTGATCTACTTGTACAAGGAAAGTTCCCTTGATATGCCATTTCACCAAATAGCCTATATTTTTTGCTGCTCCTTAGTTATACTTCTTTTTTCTATTCTCTCGCCCATCTCTTTCAAGTTAGCCGGTGCTTCAACCGGGGGCGCCCTTGCTTTTGCCTTCCTATTTCCATTCTACACATACTGTCTCATACTCTATCTTCTTGTACGTGGTAAGAAAGAAACAGAATCAGGAAAAGTTTTTGTGGTTCAAAAGAGGGTATTTATCATAGTAGCTGCCGTCTATCTCGTCGTAATCACCCTTGCCGCGAACGCCAACATTTCATGTGGCCAGGAATGTCAGCTTGGACACCCAGTGAAGGAAATCAACTTGTTATATCACAAACTGGTAAAACCCGTAAGTTCTGGTTATCCAATCTGTGAGAAAAAGTGGAGTCGACTGGAGTTGGGCATCACTGACATGGCATTCTTGGCAGATACCGCTTACAAGATTGATACAAATGGTAACAAGACAATCATCCGGGACTTGATCGAGGCCTACTTCCAGAACCCTAAATTTTACTGGGATGTTGAGGCAGTAAATCCTAAGAAACCCATGTTTTATCACATCCGTGAAGCGTCTAGTCGAGTCAATGTTGTGAGCATCCGAGGCACCAATGACGCAAGAGATTGGTTCGAGAACTTCAAAATCTGGAACGAAATCGCAGTGTTTCAGATGATTTCTGTAGCATTGCCCGTACAGCATCTACCATTCGAGTTTGTAGCTTTCTTCATCTCGAAATCGGCTTGTCTCGACTATCTTTTTCAACGTTCCAAGTACCACTACTATTTCCAGGCACTTGAAGAATACGTGAAAGATAAGACGACAAACTCGACGGAGGAGTTCTTTCTTGTCGGTCATTCCCTTGGTGGTGGATTGGCCAAGATTATTGGTAGTAGAAACAAAGTTCAAGCAATTGCAATCTCAAGCCCAGGAGAGATCTACAATCATGTGAAGTTTGGTTACACCCTCGAAGATGTACAACAGTTCACAACTACAGTCAGAGCTCAAAATGACATAGTTACGTGGATTGATAGGTCTGGAGGTCTGGTCCAGTACGTTGAATGTGACAACAGCGCCTTTTTGAAGTGTCATAATATCAGGAACACTTACTGTGAGCTAAAGGAAAAGTGTCACGTGACCAGCACTATTCCATGTCCCTCGGATAAACCAAAAGAAATATTTGAAAGGCTTTTTATCAAGAAATGGCAGAGATAGAAAGATAAAGGATAAAATTTGGGACACTGCTATAAAGAATACGTGTACATTAACCTTAAACGGCAAAGCATGTTCTTTGAGATCGTAGTATATTAGTGTTATATATATGACTATAGACCCAAGATATTGTTGTGCGCAGTCAAGATAGAGTACTATACAACAAAGTGCATGATAATTGTAGTATATTAGTGTTATATATATGACTATAGACTCATGACATTCTTGTGTGCAGTCAAGATATAGTACTTTAGAATAAAGTGCATGATAATTGTAGTATATTAGTGTTATATATATATATATATATG